TGATTTTTGAGGCTTCTGTTTTTCAAAGCAATTCTTATCGAATAGGGAGGTCTTTCCTAGGGAATTCATATTTTGGTTTATTGAATAATGGGGTGTTGAGCTCATTTATTTCTGATTCTTCCATATCTTGAGTGGTCTGCTCCATTGATGGTTTTTATGATGACTGCTTTTAATAGTTTGCAGTTCAGAACTATGATTTTTCCTTCATTCCTACTTTGTTTTTTTAAATCATTTTTTATGTCTCTGTTTTATGTTTACATTGTCCACATTTTCCCTTTCATTGCTCTTTCCTCCTTCTCAGTCAATCCCCATAACAAAGATTTTTTTTCCCAAAAGAGAAGAGAAAAAAAAATCAGCAAATTTGATCAGTATATAGAAAAAAAAACAAAAACAAAAACAAAGAAACAATTGACATTTTATGCAATGTTCCACACATGTGGACCTCTCAGCTCTTCAAAGGAGTCATTCTAGTGTTTTTATTATTTCTTTTGATGTCTAGTTTTTTTCTCTAAATTATTTTTTCAAGCTTTGTAAAATATCTCTTCAATAGTTTGTTTGATTTGTATAACACTAGATTTATAAAGTAATTTCATTAGTATTGTCATTTTTATTATATAGGCATAGCCCAGCAATTGGCACTCCAGTTTTTTAAATTCTTTATTTCTATAAGTAGCATTTTATAACTGTATCTATATCAAGTATTGATTGTATTTTGGTAAGATGGACTTTCAGATATTTTATGCATTTAGCAGGTTTTTTTGCATTGTGTTCCAGTTTTCAATTTTTTTCTATTGCGTCTCATATTCTGCTGTTACTGTGTAGAAATGCCCTGTGTGTTTTTGCATGTGTCTGTGTGCACGCGCACATAGAGTTATTTTGTGACTTGCAACCTTACTGAAACTATTAAATGCCTCTGATATTTTATGTGCTGATTCCTTAGGATTTTTTGTTTGTTTGTTTGCTTTTTGCTAGGCAGTGGGGTTAAGTTACTTGCCCAGGGTCACATATCTAGTAAATGTCAAATGTTAAGTGTGTGAGGCCAGATTTGAACTCAGATCCTACTGACTCCAGGGCTGGTGCTCTATCTACTGTGCCACCTAGCTGCCCCTTTATCCCCTAGGATTTTTAAAATAAACTATATCATCAGTAAATAGGTGTAATCTCCTCTTGGCCTATATTTATGTTGTTAATTTTTTTCTTTTGTTTTATTTCTGTTGCTAACATTTATACAACTATATCAGGAAATAGGAGTGTTCTTGCTTTACTCTTGTATTTATTGGGAAAGTTTCTAGTGTTTTGTGGGATATAATTTTAAGGGGTTATATGATGAGAACGGGAGAAAACAATTGAGGTGAAAGGCCTTGGTTTTCTTGGTAAAGTATGAGACTAGATCTTTAAGCCAAGAACACTCTGCCGTCTTTTATTCTGTGGGAGAAGTGAGGTGCAAATACAAGGGGGTAAGGGAGTGCATTAGAAAAGGGCAATATAAAGATGAACTGGCTCATTTTGGGAGTTGGAGGTTGGAAAGGATGAGAGTGTATCCAGAGGAAGAGTGATGGCCTGAGAAAGTACTGAAAAGTAGAGGGATTAGGGATTGAGGAATAAATAGGTTTAGAGGAATCAGCCATAGGAGGAAGCAGAATTCTTGGTCACAGAGTCTCTTGAAAAGTGGATCTCCCTGGTTAGAACGTCTGCTTCTTAAGAGCAGGCATTGTTTCATTCTTTTTATATCCTCAGTGCTTGGTAAAGTGCCTGGCCTATTATAGATACTTAATAAATGGTTACTGATTTACTGAGGAAGTGGAATATTTGTGGGTGATAGGAAGATTCAGGGTATGACTGTTCCAGTATGCAGCTGAAGGAATAAGAAATTGATTAAGGAACTAGAAGGCTAAAATATTTGAGAGAAAATCAATATATATGATAAAGTTTTAACAGTCTTAGGGCAGGAGTTTGGGTGGAGAGGAAGATTGAGCTAAACACTAAACTCATTGAGGAAAAAGTGAGAAGAATACCCTTAGGGCTTGTAGAAAGAAACAAAACAAAACTCTACACAGTCTGGATTGGGTGATAAATTTAGATTCAGTGAACTACAAAGGAGGCAGTAGAGAGACAGTCTGAAATTAACAAAGGGAGAAAGGATTTTGACTCCCTCTCTGAGATCAGTGAGTTGCTAGAGAGGAGAGAAGGTCCAATTGGCATTGGAAAAGGCCAGCATAGCAGTGTGATATGAGGGAGCTGTGTTTCTGAGAGTGCCAGAAAGTGGAAGGGGCATGAAAGGAAGAAGTTTAAAATAGAGCAAAATTTGTTGATTACAGAATGGGAATTACAGAGGGTACAGTGCAAAGGAGTGGGCAGATAGAGAGTGGGACATTGAAGGGTGGTTGGATGGAGATCAGAGAGTGGGCAGCAAGGTTTGACAGTGGGGCTTGCACTTCCACAGTGCTAGCAATTAACCCCTTTCACTTCCAGCTGGGAATTAAGTATTCTTTCCACTGTATAATGTTTTCTCCATCATGATTGAATTAGATTTTTATAATTGCCAAAAGTCATTTGAAGGCAAGTCTCAGGGATGAGAGTGGGTGGTCACCATGTTGTAGTGGAAAGAATGCTGGATAGATGGCATCTGTGACCCTGGGTAAGTCCATTACCCTTTTATGCCTCAGGTTCCTCATCTGTAAAATAAAGGGGTTGCACAAGACCAGAAGTATAGAACACATCTCACAACACTCCCAAGTGAGGCAGATTTACCAGATTAAAGTATAATTGAATTATTCATAACAAAATAAATAAAAATATAATATATTTTAAAATTAAGTTAATATGTGGCCTGGGGATATACTAACGTATGAATTAATTACCTCCATTTCTATTTGAGTTAGACATAACTGGATTAGAAGACCAATTTTAAATATGTGGTTCTATGATTAAGCCAATAATGCTACCGTTGGCACTACTACACCCAGCATAACACCTTGTACAGGATAGATTGTGAATTAATGTGTGTCACATGTTAAGTAATTGAAAAACAAGATTTAACTTGTTGATTTTAAGTGCTAAAGGAAATTTCAGAAATTAGATTTACTGAGGTCTTTTGAATGAAGGCTACCTCACTGGAATAATTAGATACTTTTCAAGGCAACTACTTCCAAGGAAAACATTCATTTTGGGGCCTAAATCCTATTTGTTAAAGCCCCAATTACTGTGTGTGTCTGTAAAGACACACCCGATAGATTTGTGTGTACTAGAGACTCTGACAGAGAGTGCTTAAGGAGAAGATCCGTATGACTGAGAGAGGGTAAAACAATGTGAAAAAAAAAGAGAGAGAGTTGACAAGATATTCAGGCCATAGCATATACTGGGGTATTTTCCTAAGCAAAGTTGACAGTGGAAGCACAGTGAAGGTTGGTTGCTTTTATATTTTAAGTGGACTTGCCATTTCATTATTCCGGAGAGCTATACTAATCACCCCGGCTCTGGCTCCCACTACCTGTTCGGGTTGGCACCTTTCCTTCCGTGTTGCTTGGGTGTACCAAGAGGTGAAGGGATTTACTCAGGGGTCACAGAGCTAGAGGATGTCAGAGACAGGGCTTGATTCTAGCTCTTGATTCCAAGACCAGCTGTGCACCTCTCTGTCTCTCTGTGTCTCTTTCTCTGTTCCGCTCTCTCTTGCTGTCTCTCTCTATCTCTTGCTGTCTATCTGTCTCTCACTGTCTCTGTCTCTGTCTCTCTCTTTATGTTATGCTGCTTCACAGCATAAATGCTAGTTTGGGCTACTGGGTCCAAAGACAAAGAGTTCAAACTGGGAAGGATATTGGAGGCTATTGGGCTATAGGGTCCAACCTCCTTCTTTTTTAGGTGAGGAAACAAGAGATATTTTGACTTGGACATACAGCTAGTGTCTGAGGCAGGATTGGAACCAAATTTACTTGACTCCAGGTGTAGGATTCTATTTGTCATACTACCTAGATATGACACTAATACCTCAAACCAACTATTTGACAAAGTCAGTTGAGTTGGAAGGAGAAGACCACTGGAAACTGCTCTGTGGGTGAGAAAAAGACAAAGTATTATGAGGGTGCTGCAGCTGCAAGGAGTGAGAGTAGTATGGATGGGCCAGGTAGGGACCCCTTCATCTGTGGGGTGGCCTCCTGCCATTAGGTAGCTTCCAGTTTTAACTTATTCTTGCTAACTAACCAAGCTCAGTAGTTTCTACATTGCTAACATATTGCCTAGAGACAGCTAAGTAGATAGAGGGCTGGGCCTGGAGTCAGGAAGACAGGAGTTTAAATACAGCCTCAGTCACTTACTCTGACTGTGTGACCCAGAGTTAGTAACTTCAACTGCTGTTTGCCTCAGTTTCCTCAACTGTAAAATGGGGATAATGATAGAAGCTACTTCACAGAATTGCTGTGAAGAGCAAATGACACTATTTGTAAAGTGCTTTAGCACAGTGCCTGGTACATAGTAGGTGCTTAATAAATGCTTATTTCCTTTCTTCTTATTGTGTCCTCTAAATGCCAGTACCCTGAGACAAAGTCCTGGTCACTCCATTCTAGTTATAATTATATTAAACTCTTGGAGCAGGGGTCAACCAAGTCTGTCTGACTGCTTTTATATGGCTCTACAAGCTCAGAATGGTTTTTCCATTTTTAAATACAATAAAACTTTATTTAAAATGGAAAAACCATTTTTGTTCTTGCTATTCTAGAGGGTTAGTTTAGCTATTCCTGCTTTATGCTGCATTAGAGGAAGTCTTAGTTAAAAAAAATACAAGAAAGCTCAACCATAATTTTGGAGTTGTATCAACAAGTAATTATTTAATTTTTCTTATTCCAACATTTTACAGATATATATGGGACCTTGAACATATAGATCCAGAAACCTCTAGATTCAGTCATCGTGAATTGTTTTAAAAGTTTCTCCAGCCTTTTTCTTCATATTAAGTAGCAATTTTTTTTTGTACTTCCCACCCCTAAACCACACACCCACCTTTTCCAATGCCGAAAAATAGCAAGGTGGCAAAAAGAGAACTAGATGATGATGTCATCGAATCTGTCAAAGATCTCCTTTCTAACGAAGATTCTGCTGATGATGCCTTTAAGAAGAGTGAACTAATTGTTGATGATCCAGAAGAAAAAGACACTGATGTTGAAAAAGGCTCTGATGTGGACCGTGAAAGGCCGGCTTGGAACAGCAAGCTGCAGTACATCTTGGCCCAGGTTGGATTTTCTGTCGGTTTAGGGAATGTGTGGAGATTTCCATACCTGTGCCAGAAGAATGGAGGAGGTAAGTCTACATACACTTCTTAAATACCTTTTGGGGTTTCATCATGAGTCACAGATAGACACATCAGAAGTCTAGAATCTGCTTGTCTCCATGAGAAAAAAAATCTGAATTTTTTTAATTTTTAGTTTGGAAATAAGCATTGTTTTAAAGCTGTGGAACATTTACTTGTAGTTAGTGAAGTCTACTTGCAAATCAAAGACTGAGCTCCTGAATTTATCAGAGGAAAGAGAATCCTGGAACCATTTATATGGGAGCTCTAAGACTCTGTTCTTTAGATTTATGAACTCCCCTGACTATTTTCTCTGTCAATAAAGCAACTGTCCCTAAGATTCTTTCTGAAACCTTTCTAGTAGGCAGCTATAATGGTCATTCAGTGTTTCTCTAGAGTTGAGTGAAGCTCTTTATAGTGAGAGCAAATTGGAGAATAGGGTCAGAGAGGATATTCTCTGTATGTCTGGGTTGACCAAGAGCACCAGGAAACTAGGAATGGTGGAGAATGTATTATAATAATAACAGTTAACATTTTTATATAAAGCTTTGATGTTTCCAAAGTGCCCTTACCCTTTTTATCTCATTTGATAGTCATGCCAACCCTATGAGATGGGTGATATTATTTTATTATTCCCATTTTACATTTGGGGAAATTGAGGCTTAAGAAGTTAAGTGACTTATCCAGTGTCATTATAGCTATTAAGTATATGAGGGAGGATTTGAACTCAGGTTTTCCTGTTTCCAAATTTAGCATTCTAGACCTGAGGCCTTGAGGTCACACGTGACCCTCTAGGTCCTCAAGTGTGGTCCTTTGATTGAATCCAAATTTCACAGAACATATTTCCTTTGTTCTCTCAGGTTTGGATTTAGTCAAAGGGCTGCACTTGACCTAGAGGGCCACATGTGGTCTCGAGGCCTCAGGTTGCCCACTCTTATAATCCAGACACTATGCCCCATCTGGAAATCAACAACCACCAAATCTGTAAACTTACTTTTTAGTGGGCTAGAGTGTTATCGAACTTATTAGAGCTTGAATTTAAGAGACTAACATAATCAGTATATATGTGAAAAAGTGGGAAACTCCCAGTATGAGAATTACCTTCACCAGTGCAGGTCAGACAATCTCCCTCCCCCACCCCAACATGGCTTAGTCCTATGCAATTAGTTGCCTGAGGTTAATTAACATGCCCAGGATAATGTAGCTAGTAAGTGTATGAGGCAGGATTCTTACCCCCATCTTCCTGTATCCAAGTCCAGTGCTTTCTTACTTTTTTTTATCTTTTTTTTATTATTTTAGACTTGACTACTAGTGCTCTTTGTGTAGTATCATGCTGTCTCAGTGAGTAGTCGTAATCCATCAATTTTTGGCTATTTGATCCAGTATGCCTCTGTATCTAGAATTCCTTTCTACCTTTTTTCATTATTATTAACTCATGGGATAATAGATTTAGAATCGGAAAAAAAACCTTAGACGTCTAGTCTAAATGCCTCATTTTAAAGATGAGGAAACTAAAACCTAGAGAGAATAAATAACTTAAACAAGGTCATACAGTTAGTGACACAGGTGACAGGGTTGGGATTTGAACCCATGGCCTCTGACTCCAAATCCATTGGTCTTTCCACTGCCTTAAAAATTTAACTACGAGTGAGTGGTTTTGATAATTGATATCTGAGTGCTTGGTTCAGCATGTCTTTGCCACAGTCTTTTTCTAAAGGGCCCTAATGACTTTGAGCACTGCTCATGAAAGGTACTCACAATATCTGAACCCTAACACTAATGAATAAATATTAATCCAAGTACTCAAGTTCATTTAACATGTAGTCCAGTGGCTCATCCCTTCTGTGGCCTGAAATCTTTTTTTTTATGAATTTATTTTGATTTATCAATAATCACTTCCATAAGCTTTTGAATTTTAAATTTTTCTCCCCCTCCTTCCCGAGACGGTGCACAAACTGATATAGGCTCTACATACATATATTCCTATTATATATATTTTCACATTAGTGATGTTGTAAGTAAGAATTAGAACCAATAGGAGCAACCACCAGAAAGAGGAAACAACAAAACAGAAGAGAAAAAATAGCAAACAGTATGCTTCAGATCTGCATTCAAACTCCATAGTTCTTTCTTTGGATATGGATAGAATTTTCCATCTTGAGGCCTTTGGAGACGTCTTAGATCCTTGCATTGTTGAGAAGGGCTAAGTCTATCAACGTTAGTCATTGTGCAATGTGGCTGTTACTGTGTACAACGTTCTCCTGGTTCTGCTCACTGCACTCAGCATCAGTCCATACAAGTCTTTCCGGGTTTTTTTGAAGTCTACCTGCTCATTACTTCTTATAGCACAATAGTATTCCATTACAATCATATACCACAACTTGTTTAGCCATTCCCCAGTTGATGGGCATCCCCTCAATTTCCAATTCTTTGTGTGGCCTGAAATCTTAAGCAAGTTGAGCTGAGCATTACTTGAATATTTTGGCTATAGCTTTAAGTATTGAGATAGTCACTCAGTCAGTAAACATTTATTAAAAGCCTGCTACGTTCCAAACACTGTGCTAAATGCTCTAAATACAAAAACAAGAGGGGGATAATATCATCATACATAGAACAAATGTTTGCAGATTTTGCTATCGGCATGGCAGGAGTTCCTTCCTTTGAGGTTGATTTGAATCTCTGTGGATATTAGAAGTTAAGTCTTAGGCTGGGGTGGGGAGTTGCTTAAGGAACATAAAACAAAATTAAGTTACTTGGTCCAGGCCACACAGCTAGTAAGGTGTCAGAGATGGGATTTAAACTGCAGCTTTCATGATTCCTAGGCTGATACTCTACGCACTTTGTCATGATGCTGGAAAACAGGTCAGGCCTTGTGAAAATAGCATTCTTTCTTTTTTTTTTTTTAAAGTGAATTTTTATTGATATTGTTTGTTAAGAGAAACTTTAGTTCAAATACCACCTTTGACACTTGCTATCTATATAAATATGGGGAAATCACTTAACATTTATGAATTTCAATCTCCTCCTCTCAGAAATACATATAATTATACCTATACCTCCAACTTGGAAAGTTTATTGAGACACAATCATCATCCTCTTAGGACTGTTGAGAGACTTTTGAAGATATCCACTGTGCCTCTTAAGCTGGAATGGTTTCCCAAATATTTAAAAGTATATTTTCACACCTGTTTCAAAGTTACCTTGTGAACCACAAAGTATTTATTTACATGCCCTATGTTTCCCAAATCTTTTCAGTGAGGCATCCCTTAAAGTAAAGAATAATGAAAGGGGAAAAATGTATTCCGTGAAATCAAGCAACTATCGAAGAAGTCTAACATCGTATTCAGTGTCCTATACCCGTAATTCTCCACTGATAGCTCTTTGAAAGAGCCAAGCTTGGTTGTTCATAATTTCACAGTATTCAGTTTTTGTTTGTTGTTTTTCCGTTTTTATTGTTGAGGTCATTGTGTTTATTGTGTTTTTGATTCTACTTAATGCCACTTTGCACTGATTTCACATAAGTATTTCCATGCTTCTTTGCTGATTGTGCTCAGCATGTCCAGTGCAGTAACATTCCACTAATCATGTACCTCAACAAGTTTAGCCATTCTTCAGTCTGTGGGCATTTTCTTTGTTCCCAGTTCGTTGGTATGTCAAAAAGTTCAGCCATAAATAGAAAATAGCTCTTTCTTAGCTGTGAGTTGAATGTCTCAAAAATATCTCTATTAATTAGTAATTAGAAAAGTGTAGAGCAAAAAGTGTTTTCTTCCTCTGCCCACTAGTACTTCCTAAAGATAAGGCAGTATAACCTGACCAGCCCCAATTCATACAATTGTGTTTCATATTTTAAAAGCAGATTATTAAATAGTGCTTAGGATAATACTCAAAAGATTCTTTTTTTTAGACCCATGTCTAAATATATTTGGAACTTCAGTTTAATCAGTGAGGATAGAGATCTTAGTTTCATTGTATATTATTCCTATAAACATATTTGATATCATATAGTTGGCTTTTAACACAGGAAACACTGAGGAAATTTCCCCTAAGTCTTTAAATATACTATCTTGAACCACCATCTTGAAAAAGAAAGGTGAGAAAGGTTATTGTGCCAAGACCTAGAAAAACTTTTGGGATTGATTCATGCACAACAATTAGCCTGGTGGATAATACTACAATGTGAATTTCTTTTTTTTAAATATTTTATTTTTTCCCCAATTACATGTCAAAACAAATTTTAACATTTTTTTAAGTGAAAAATTTTGAGTACCAAATTCTATCCCTCCCTCCCTGAAATGGTAGGCAGTCTAATATAGGTTATACCTGTGCAATCATGTAAATTTCCATATTAGTGTGCTATAAGAAATGACAAGCAAGATGATTTCAGAAAAACCTAGAAAGACTTACATGAACTGATGTAAAGTGAAGGGAACAGAACCAGGAGAACAATGTACACAGTAACAGCAATATTGTATGATGAAGAACTATGAATGACTTACCTCTTCTCAGCAATACAATGATCCAAGACAATCCCAAAGTATTCATTATGAATCATGCTATCTACCTCCAGAGAAAGAATTGAAGTTGTCTGAATATACAGTGAAGCATGCTCTTTTCCATTCTTTCTTTTTCTTTCTTTTCCTTCCTTCCTTCCTTCCTTCCTTCTTTCCTTCCTTCCTTCCTTCCATCCCTTGTGCATGATAAAGGCCTCATTTCTCAAATAGAACTGAGTCAAATTTATAAGAATAAAAGTCGTTCTCCAACTGATAAATTGTCAAAGAATATGAACAGGCAGTTTTCAGACAAAGAAATGGATGTGCCCAAAGGGCTATAAAATTGTGCTTACCCTTTGACCCAGCAATACCACTTCTAGGTCTGTATCCCAAAGAGATCATAAAAATGGGAAAAGGATCCACATGTACAAAAATATCTGTAGCAGCTCTTATTGTGGTGGCAAAGAATTGGAAATTAAGGAGATGCCCATCAATTGGGAAATGGCTGAACAAGTTGTGGTATATGAATGTAATGGAATACTATTGTGCTATAAGAAATGAAGAGCAGGCTGACTTCAGAAAAACCTAGAAAGACTTATGTGAACTGATGCTGAGTGAAATGAGCAGAATCAGGAGGACATGGTACACAGTAACAGCCACACTGTGTGATGACTGACTTTGATAGACTTGGCTCTTCTCAGCAACGCAAGGATCTAAGACAACTCTAAATCTAAGACAATTATTTACAAAAAAAGAAATGGATATTAATTATTTAAGCCACAATACACCTTTCCAGAAAGACAGACATAACAGATATTGTGGTGAGCACTCTTTATAATTCTGGGCACTAGGTAGATGCTGCTGCTGCTGCTACTGATTATGATAGACATTTATCTATTCATTGATTTATTCAGAATGGACATCCCTCTATCCATCACCTGCTTTGTAGTTTATAATGCCTGGGGACACTGAGAGGTTAGTGGTTTGCCCTTTGCCAGTGTGTCAGAGACAGAACTTGAAGCCAGGGTCTTTCTGATTCTGACCTTGGTTTTCTAGCCATGAAGTCATTTTTGCAGTGCATTTTTGATACAGTGTCTTATTTGAGCTCACACAAAACCTGGGAACTTGCTACCATAGATGTAATTATCCACATTTTCCAAATAAGAAAACTGAAGCTTATAACACTGAAGTGACCTTGCCATAATTACGTAGCTGGTGTCAAAGGCAGAATTTGATCTGATATCTCTCCTGACTTAAAGTAGGACACTTCCAACTCAGCTGCCTCTACTCAAGTACTTAGTACTTGTTGATAAATTAAACAATTACAAACTCTCTATGCCAGGTGCTTGGGATTTATGAGTTCGTTTTTTAGCATTTAGTATTTGAATTTAGTATTTAGTAATTGACTTCCTTTGTAATCCTATACATTTTATTATATCCATTTCAAAATAATTCTGAGAATAGGGCTATAGGTGTCACCAGACTGCCAGAGGAGTCTGAGACTCAAAATACCATTTGATTACATACATGTGTATGTAATTCAATTTGACTATGTATGTATATGTATGCAATCTCATTTGATTGTGTGTATTGTATATATGCATTTTGAGATTAATACACATGCATATATACATTTAGGCACATATATACCTACATCTGCATGCATATATACACTTCTATATGCATCTTCGCTGTGCATGTACACCTACATATGTGTATGCACACATATCTATGCATAATATACATATGTATATATAATCTCATTGGACATTAGAATCTGAAAGCACTATATAAATGTTAGCTATTATTATTTCATTTCTGTAAGAGTGAACTCAACAACCAGGTGGCACTAGGAGGTTTTGTTCCCAGTTGTCCCCAACATATGCAATGTTCTGTGCCCATAGGAGTGCTAATGTATTCTCAGTCCTCATTCTCCTTTCCTTCTAGGTTCTATTGGTAAAATTTTGTCATAATTTGTTCTTTAAAATTCATTTGAATTGTGCTGGTCTGGAATTCATGGTCCTTTAGAAGCCATAGAGTAGACTGAAATTTACATTTGTATTTTTCATTAATAAAAGTAACTGTTTAAAGAGGATTCCATGGGGTAGGCTTAGCCTACTTGAGAAACTAGCTACTTTTAAATACTCTAGCAAATGTGTATGTAAATTTATGCTGCTGGTGCTAATTCATGACCTGGTCACAAAAACGTGCTTTATAGCAATTTGCTTCTTTTTTTCTGCCCTTGAAAGTGAGACTTCTATATTCCTTTTAAAATGTTCCAAATTTGAAATAATTTTCCCTCAATCTGAAATATTCAAAATGTACTGGTTTTTACCAGAAATGTCAACTTTACTATATTGTCTTATTTGTGTTTCTCTCTATAGGTGCATATCTTGTGCCATATTTAATATTGCTGCTGGTAATAGGCATCCCACTTTTTTTCCTGGAACTCGCTGTTGGACAGCGAATCCGAAGAGGGAGCATTGGTGTGTGGAATTACATCAGCCCTAAACTAGGCGGGATTGGATTCGCAAGTTGTGTAGTAAGTGATGTGTGCCTTTTCATTTAATCTTTAATCTTCTGATAGAAAAGAGAAAAAAAAGATGCTGATTTTAAAGCAAAGAATAACTTTTTTTCTAATTCTTTTAAATAAGTAGAATGTGTGCTAATGTAGAAATCTTAAGGATTATAGATCTTTAGCTGTGAATCCAGTTAATATGTATTCTTTAGGGAATGGCATGTGAATGATATAAATATTCCAAATAATCATGGAAAAAAGGATGGCTATCAGAAAGAATTTTAGTCATATAGGGAAAAAGTTTAAAATAAAAATATAATTTATAATTTGAAGGTTTCACATGCAGTAGGCTTAGATAACTTTACTGTTACATATCTTTTGTTTTCAAATATTGTTCTCCCCCCTTCCTCAATCTACTGAACCATTCCTTGTAATAAAAAATTTCAAGAGGGAGGAAGGGAGAAAGGAAGAAAAGGAAGGGGAGAAGAGAGAGGGGATTAGCAAAACAAGCTAAGCCAAAGCTATGGTGCCTGATAGTATATGCAATATTAATGGGATTATTTTCTCTTTTAGGTGTGTTTCTTTGTGGCCCTCTACTACAATGTTATCATTGGCTGGAGCTTATTCTATTTTTCACAATCTTTTCAGCAGCCTCTTCCATGGGATCAGTGCCCTCTGGTGAAAAATACTTCTCACACTTGTAAGAAACATAATTTTTTTTTTTGTTACTTAAGGATAAGGAATTTTTGTATTAAGATTATCAGGGCAAAATTATAGTATACTTTTCAAAAATCATTATGACTATACATATTCTGTTCTCCAAATTCTTTATGGTCCTACTTACTTTAAAAAAAACAGAACAAAACAACAAAAACCCAAACAAACCAAAAAATCTTATTTCATTATGAATCCTAAATAATGAATGTCAAAGGACAAGTCATCAAAACAATGAATAATTATGTGAAAAAATGATAATGATGAAAAAAATCTTAATTTATTGATACCTTGTTTTGTAACACTTTTATTTCTGAATATATCCCTCCCCTTTCTCTATTGAATGATCTATCCTTTGAAAGAAGGATTAAAAAAGAAAGGAGAGGGAAGCAAAGCCAATCATGTGTGACAGCAAATGCAGTATTCCACAGCCATAGTTCCCTTTGCTTTGCAAAGAGGAGAGAGACATGCATTTTCTCAACTTTTTTCTTTTCTGAGAGCCTTCTTTTACCAATTATCCAAATGCTCTTAGGGCTTCGCAACATGTTCTGTTATTGTCCTTTGTACCACTAGAAGAGATTGTGAGCATTAGCCTTCATCTCTCCCCTACCCTTGATCCAAATGCACATTCTTATGAAAATTGGAGGAAACTACAAATATTAATTTTGTTTCAAGTACTTCAAATTACTTTAGTTTTCTTTGGCTTTTTTTTTAGGTTCCTGGATATAAAATAATTTTATAGGCCTGTTCTTGAGAACCAGATTTTTAGATAATTTAGACAATCATGAGGGATGGCAGGGGGAAATAAAGACCTACTTTTTGCATGAATTAGCTGAGAGAAATCAGGGTGAAAGCCAAATTGACCAACCAAATTCACTGGACAGTTAGCTCCCACCACCTCACCTTTGTGACGTAGATTGAACTTCAAAGTCTTTCAGACTTTTATTTAATTAATTCATGTGATGCTTGGGATGCATACTTTTACCCTTTTATCAAGAAAGGGAATCTAAGATTTTTTTTTTCTAAGATTACTTTAAAGAAAAATATTTAGTTTAAAAAAAAGTTTTTCTGTACAAGCAGAGTAAAGAAATTAATTAAATAATTTAGCCAAAATAATGAGGAAAAGTGGTTTTAGGCCAAGTTATATATTAAATTACCTCATTTCTCTACATAGTTGGTTTTGGCCACTAGCACAAAGTGGGTGTAATATTTTGCTTATTCCAATAATTTGTTAACTACCTTTATTATTAAAATCCTCCCCTTAGTCCAGAAGAAAAAACTTGTCAAATATCCAGATCTTTTGTCATGAAGGTAACAAATACCAGATATTTAGATAAATTGATTTTTCACTCACAGGTTTATTGTCATGATTTTTCTTGTACAGAATTGGAATCACTTCTAAATATGATAGGAAAAATATTTAGGCTTGGAAAAGTAAGACTAGGCACCCTTAGAAATTTCAAAATAGAAAATATTGTTTCTGTTCCAAATCAGCTCCTGGAGGCAGAGACTATGATATAATTTTATGGTCATAATGAGATAATCATTTCTCATAAGAACACATAAGTTTATCCCTAGGATGATATTATCTCATAAAGCTAAAGCCATAATAATTTGTATGGGGCGAACAGTATCTACTATATGTCCATGGCCAAATTATATATCAGTAATTAGATTCATAAATTTATAATTAGAAAGGATCATAGATAGATAGGTAGATAGAGCATTTATTAAGTGTTTCTATATTTATATGCCAAGCTCTCTACTAAGTGCTGAGGACGAAAATACTAGGAGGCAAAAGAGACCCTATGCCCAATGAACAGAGAAGGGTACCTGTTTAGTGGCATTGATGTCCAATACCTTCGTTCCTAGTGATAAAACTGAGGTACACAGTCAAGTTATTTACCCAGCATCACATAGTTAGTGAGTGTCTTTGAATTTGAATCCAGGTCTTTTTTTTTTTTTTAATTTTTTTGGCTAGGCAATGGGGTTAAGTGACTTGCCCAGGGTCACACAACTAGTAAGTATTATGAGTCTGAGGCTGGATATGAACTCAGGTCCTCCTGAATCCAGGAACCCAGGTCTTTCTGATGCCAGGTCCAAAATCTTATACATGGTACCTCCTTCAACATGTCTTGGACAGATATTACAGAGGACTATGAACTGAGCTCAAAAACTCAATTGTTGGGCCTAAAATTTTCAGGGAGTTATTGAAAAAGAATCTTCATAGTCCTGCTCTAAAACTTACTTTAGTCATGGATTTTCATGAACTGTGCTTGAATATTTTCAGTGGTAAGTAGACCTTGGGTTCTTTGAGAGCAGAAGTATTTGGCATAAGATAGTGACTGAAAGATGGTGTCACTGAAGACTTGTTTGTTAGGTTAATAAGATCTTCAGTCCCTTTTTTAGAAAGGCTATATGAGATAAACACATTGTCCACTTTTTAGATTATCCATGTCGAAATTGTTGTCAATCCTTTTTAATCATAGAAAGACTTCTCTAGCCCTGTAAAATGTCCCTGTACTAAATTGCTCTGCTCCTCAGCTTTCTGCTGGGGTATGCTTAAAACTGCAAATTAAATATACTAATAGCCTAACACACTGAGCACCCAGAAAAATAATTTGAATGAACTTTGAATTCAGTAAGTACAAATGATGGTTGAATTGGGTGAATAGAGAAAGGCAACTTTAAACAAGCAAACAAAAGTAAACAATATGATGCATTTCTAGACATTCATCAGGTTTGGTGCTATTAGCATGGACTTTTAGACATGTGCCCCAAAAGATACCATATCATGGGGTATGAAAGCAAAGTTACCTTTTAGTTTTGAATGTTCTTGCTTTTGTATATAATAGAAAAATAAAGGGAACACCTAGCATTTTGCTATCTTTTAAAATATGATTTACATTTGCATTTCAAAAACATGAAATGTTTGAGTGAATTTGCATTAATATATATGTTTATAATCTATATAATGAATTTTTAGAGCAGCTAGGTGGCATAGTGGGTAGAGTGCCCAGAGTCAGGAAGACCTGAGTTCAGATTCAGACTCAGACATTTACTGTGTAACTCTGGACAAGTCACTTAACCTGTCTACCTCAGTTTCCTCAACTGTAGAATGAGGATAACAACACCTCTTACCTCTCAGGGTTGTTGTGAGGATCAAATGAGATGATATTTGTAAAATGTTTAGTACAGTGCCTGGCACATAGTAAGTGTTTAATAAATGCTGGAACATAGTAAGTGTTTAATAAATGCTCCCCATCTCCTCTTACTGATAGCTATAGATTTTTAAAATTTATCATATTAAGTTTCCATTCCATGAAAACAGCAATTGTATTCTATCAAAAGGTATGAAATACTTTGCAGAGAAATATTCTCTGACCATTTCTAATGTAATTACCACAGTCTTCAGATCTGAAATCATTCTTTCCCTTCTTTTTTTCCCCCTTCAGTTGTGGAGCCAGAATGTGAAAGGAGTTCTGCCACGACCTATTACTGGTATAGAGAAGCCTTGAATATTTCTGACTCCATCTCAGAGAGCGGGGGCCTCAACTGGAAGATGACAGTCTGCTTACTGTCTGCCTGGGTCTTGGTTTGCTTAGCAATGATCAAAGGCATTCAGTCTTCAGGCAAAGTTAGTACATTCTTTTTGGCTTCCTGCCCATTAGCTAGCAGGCATATATCATCCCATTCCTGGACACCACACTCCTCACATGCCGTCTTCTCTATCTGTAGGGGCAACTAGACTAGAAGTCATGATTCATTTGGCTCTTGAATAAACTTAGGTATAAGAATGGTGGGCCCTGGATGAAGAAGCATTTTGCTACCAGTTATACAAAAAGACTTGAGGGTTAATGAAAAGCAGTGTGTTAAGAATGTGTTCAGGTTCTGATAATCGGAGGATGAAGTTGAAGTGTTTGTCCAGGGGTCTTTATTTCTTTCTTCTTTTCTCTCTCTGTCTCTGTCTCTGTCTCTCTGTCTCTCTCTCTCTCCCTATCATTTTCCATCCATCCATTTCTTCCTTCCTTTCTCCCTCCCTTCTTTCCTTTTTTCTTTCTTTTTTTTTCCTTCCTTTTTCTTTCTCTTCCTTTTTTCTCTCTCTTTTTCTTTGTTCCTTTTTCCCTCTCTCTTTCTTTCTTCCTTCCCTCCCTTCTTTCTTTCCTTCGTTACATTTCCTCCATCCTTTATTTCTTCCCTCACTCTCTCCTCTCTTTCCCTCTTAAATATTTTTTAAAATTTTTCCTTGTACGTTAATTTACAGCATCCTAAATATCTTTAAGGTCTTCTGAGATTCTTTGTTTTGTTCATCTGATGGCCCTGAAAGTGTATTTTGGACAGTGGCATATAGAAACTTTTCCCCATCCCCAAAGGGCTCTGATTAGCTCCTGAGGTTTCTGAATTCTCCAGGGATGGGCATACTTTTAGAAATCTGGGTCATCATGTTTGAGCCTAACAAGCATTTTGGCTTGAATGAAATTTATCAAGAGTTTCAATTTCACTGTGTACCACATGTATAAAATAGATAGGAATTATAAGAGTAAGCAATAATTTTATCCAACAAAAAGAATATTAAATTTTGAATCATCAGAATTTATTAGGCTGATCTTTTTTTTTTTTAAATTGAGTCACCAAACTACTTTTCTATTCAGTACTGTTACTCTACCATCACCTTTGACTTTGCATTGTTTTCAGAAGATAAAATCTTGAAAAGGATGGGACAAATAAATACTACAGAAAATCTGACATTAGTGTAGTAAAGCTGTTATTTAAGAAAACTTAAATTTTTTTAAAGATTATTTCCAATTATATTATTATTGGATGATTTCAAACTAACCTTTCCAGTTCTGAAATTAGTAGTGTCTTTCTTTCCAAAATAGATTTTGCTTATGAGGATGGAAATATAGTTCTAAAGACATGTAGATTCACTTTCAAATCTAATGAAAATTTTATTGCATGACTAACTATGCTGAATTAACCATTAATCATTTTAATTGGGTATGCCCTGCACTGTATGTTAAGGTACTTTGCAACTGCATTCTTACAGGTTACAAAGAGCAAATTATGGAGTTGTAGGTTCGTGTGTTTTTTTTTTTTTTAACAGAGAATGACCATGCTTACTTATGTAAAAAGCACCATGGTTAAAACCAGAAGGGTTTTTTTGGTCATTTTTGGACATCCACTAAGGGCTTATACTCATCATTGGGCATATTTATCAAGGAAATTTTGTTCTAAATTGTATAAAAATAGAGAAATTGTGATCTATATAGTTTATGTATGATCTTCATTGTAAATTTGGGGGAAAATGCATTACTCCAGTATTATGATTTTGTACCAGTGAAATGATATAATTGCTATAACAATTTAAAAAATGAAGTCAAGGCTTAGAGAAATTAACTAGACAATTAAGTTCAGAAAGAAGATTAAATTATTCTGACCTGAAAATGCCAGGACAAACCATTTGCTAACTTGTTTTACAGTAATATCTTCCTTGTCTGGCCATTCTTTTCACTTTGCAAGTATAGTTGGCCTGATTCTCAAGCACTGTTAATAAGAGTAGTATTGATAAGATGCATGGGATCAGAAGATCAAAGCTGGTGGGCCTTATATGGCTCATATTGTGAATGAGGAAAACTGAGCTGAAGTGATTTGCCAACAGAGAGAGGAGTTTCTCCACACCAGCTTTTAAAACATATGCAAACATGTGAAACTGTCTTCAAAGCATTGAATGTTCAAAGAAATCCTTATTTTTTAGGAGAAAACCAATTTATTGTAAGGTAAGGATGGTCTTCAAGAATTGGACAGTTCGTCAGTCATCATAGTAATGAGTCAGAGAGCTTGGCTAGGGTCCTGTCCCCCATTCTTATGTTAAGACATAACAGATAAATCTTTATATGAAGATGGAAAATATCCTCTCTTTTAAATTGATATTAGAAAATTATGTCAAAATGGGGCAACTATTTAGACACATCCAGTCAGTCATTTAGCATTTAAGAAGTGCCTTCTATGTGCCAGGCATTGTGCTAAGTGCTGGGGATAAAAAAAAAATGCAAAACAGAGTCCTTGCTCTTGAGGACCTCATGGTCTAATGGGAGAGAATTATCTAGATAAGTCAGGCAGTAGATGTTTTATTATTGAGTGTAAGGGATCCTTCAGTCTCAGTTGCTGTATTGTTTGTTTGCAGCCATAATTCAAAGGGATTTATTAAAACATCTGTTTTACATCATGGAATCCCATTCCTAAAAGATAGGAGAAGTATAGGACCTGTAAGTTCATTAATATAGGGAACTACTGGGTGAGAAAACTCTCTCTAGTGATATAGGGACACTTCCTTTGCAACTTAGGGAGTGGTTTGAGTGCTGGATGTGGAGTCAGGAAGACTTGAGCTCAGTCCTGTCTCAAACATTTATTAATTAGCTAAGTGGCCCTGGAACAAGACACTTAACCTTTTGACCTAAATTTCCACTTCTGTGAAGAGGGGATAGCAATAGCATCTACTTCATAGGAATATATTGTAAAGATCAAAATGAGATAAATAATATGCGTGTAATTATGTAATATCCATAAATGAGCTATGATTATATTATAACTTATAGAATTGCTTAGAGCACTGAGAAATCAAGTGATTTGTTCAATGTTACACAGCCAGTATGTGTCAGAAGTGGAACTCAAACCCATGTCCTTTGGTTTCAAGGCCAGCCCTCTAGCCATGATGCCTCTTAGACTTGATCTCTGAAAGGGTTTTCAAGAAATCATATGAGTTGTTTGGTAGCTTTTATACATGTAAATAAGCCATCCAGTATAGAAAACCTTTTTTTAAGAACTCCAGGGATAGCATCTCTACTGACTTCCTCAGTTTTTTCTAGCTGTTTTGTTATACTGATCACCATGATGGTTTTTCTTATAGTTAGTCCATCTCCTATTTTCATTGAAAATAACTAACTCTTCATTAGTCCTTGGATGTGACCGATACTTGGCTGTTGAAGAGTTGGAAAGAATCTCCCGCATTCACCATAGCTTTTACTTTCCTAGACCACACAAATGCTTTTTGGCTTTCATCATTGGATCATTTCTACTTGCATTAGTCATCTTTGGTGCCCTTTTCTAATCTCTCTCCTGTTTCTTCACATCCTTTTAAAGTGTGGTCAGAACCAAGAAGGCATAGGCTTACGAGATTGCTTAACATCTTTCTATGCTACGTTCCCACTTTTAGATCTCAAGAGATATTGATATTTTCTAGGGATAGGGATAGGAGTTGTGATTTCATTGATAGAGGAAACTTTGAGGGAGGAAATGCCTACCAACGCCTGCTAGCACCTTCTCTGCAAATGATGGTCTTAGAGTACTGCTAAGGCATTGACAAGTGCAGTGATTTACCCAAGGACACACAGCCAGTTTGTGTCCCACCAGAACTCGCATCTTCCTGGGTTTAAGGGTTGTACTCTATCCACTGTGCCATGCAGAAATTCTCAGGTAATTTTTGTTATTTAAAGATGAGTGTGGGATTTTTAACACCTTAACACCTGAAGTGCATTCTATAATATCACATGTTTTTACACCCTTATGGAAAGCCCATGTTCACTTGCAACTTGACTGTTGTGAGAAGCTTAGGTTCCCATGACTAATAAAAGGTATTCTGGAAATAGTCCAGAGAAACATCCAGAAAAAAAGCACCTCAGATGATAGAACTGAGAATTGACAATAATTTAATAATAAACCTAGACTAAAAAGATGAAGACTAAGAGGCAGCATGCAGTAGCGAGTGGGAAGAGTACTGGGCCTGGAGTTAGGTACACTTGGATACAGCTTCTGCCTTAACGTTTTTTACTAGCCAAGTGACCATGGACAAGTCACTTAACCTCACTGTGTCTTGGTTTTCTCATCTGTATAATGAGGAAGTTGAGCTCAGTTGCTTTCTAAGGCCACTTCCAACCTTAAATCTATGATGTTATGATCTTAACTGTTGCTCTGAATGAGAAGACATGGCTGGAGTGAAGTCTGCTCTTAGAGGGAGTACATTCTCATTGTGATCATATATCCATTGAAGTATCATGTGATGCTTTACAGAGCAATCAGCAACTGGAGCCCTGCCCCAGGAGGCATGTGGTAGGAACAACAGCTATTGAGTGCGCTAGGCAAGTTTTTTCCTTAAAAGATATTAAAACCATCTTGTGCTGACTTTTGTACTCAGGCCACCAGGAAGCTGATAAAAGATGCGAGCCTTGTTCCCCTCAGCCAATAAGTCTTCAAGAGCATTTTAAAAAGCTAGCCTAACCCACATGACAGATAGGACTCCTGCTGAAAAATATATGACAACTAATGAATGTTAAAAAAAAAATAGTTAAAAAGCTTTAGACAAATCAATTAGTGAGGGGTTAGGGATTGTAAAAATGTTTGGGTACTATTTCTAACCATATGTATTAGAACTATTGCCTCCCAATGGATAGGCAGTGGATCTGACCTAGAATGAATTTTCTTATTTTCCATTTTGGGGGCTGTAATAATAAATGATAATACTACTTATGATGAGGACAATGATAATCATGTTATTACAAATTTAAGACTTAGCACACTAGGTCAGGCTCTTTAGATGTCCAAAGGGACATCTAAATGGCAGCTTCCTATGATTCAGGATGCAGTCAGCCTTATTCCCAAAGTAGGATTCTCTAAGCACTGACTGGAGAGCAGCCTTGAACATTCAGCATAATCTTTGGGCTACATTTGTGGGACATTGGTTCAACCTGAGGAAAATCTTCTTGACTATCTGAATAGTAACACCACCACTACCACCAACACCAGCACCACCACCAACACCAATCATACCAATACCAATACTACTCCCAAACAGCAACAAGCCTGTTATTGAATCCTTTCCTCTTTCGTGTTGAGTCAGGAAGGGTTTGAGGCACTGTTGCCTTATAGAGGCCGGAGTCCCCTCAGGGCCATAATGAAACATTGGAGGAGGACACTCAAATGAACGAATGGATGAAAAAAAAATTTATTAAGCACTCACTATGTGCCAGGCACTGTACTAGTACTTTGCAATTTATAAAGCTGTGATCTTCTTATGGAAAACATAAACTCTTTTGCTTGGCCTAATAGCATACCGAGTATTTTAGAAACATTCCTTTTCATTACTTTCCATGGGGGAGCTGAGTGTGAAAGAATTTTCACACCCCATTTTAGCTGATAAGAAGACTGGTCTGTTAAAACATACTTGCTGTCAGGATCATTTTCCTACATGTGCCTCTATAGATGAATCCCATGTGTCTTAGCAGCCGCTAAAAGAGCAGTCATCACTCTCTCACCACGTTTTCACCGAGTGTTCTTCTCTCGCAAAAAAAAAAAAAAATCCTGTTATCTGGATAATGTTGAAAATATTTTTAGAATATGTGCAGTTGGTTACTTTCCCTTAAAGAGATAACAACCATGAGTAAAAATTGTAAAAATTTTATTTTAAAAAGATTAAAGTTTCATTGATTCATTTTGTTCAACATCAGAACATAAAGGAAGGGTTTTTGACAATGATACTCGCTCATTCCTGGGTGTTTGGGTATACCGGGCCCACCCTCTCTGCTAAGCCTGTCCAACATATTCATTTCTGTATATACTCTTACCCTCTATCTCCATACCCAGCAAGCTTTCTTTTAATAGCAAAGCAAAATCATCAGGCCAAGTTACCTGACTTTGGCTGTGCATGTGAGTGTTCTGTGTCCATAGTCACTTACCTCTCCAAGAAAAGGAGGGAGGTACCTTTTTCCTCCTCTCTCCTCCAAATTGGTCATTGCCGTTTCAATGTCCAGGTTCATTCCAGTATCATAGAAAATATTTATAAAGTTTTGTTTTTTCTTTTTCAAATACAGATGTTCCATAGAACTGATTTGTCCAGATTTCCTTGATCTGTAAGCTGGGTATTGACATTTTAATAAATAAAAAAATCCAGTTTTGTACTAGGTTTTCATTGATGTCATTTTGGGGGATGAAAACTCACAAAAGCATGGTCACTAGATTTGCTGAAGGTGCCATAGGTGCCTTTAGAAGGGGAAACAAATATTCAAAAGACGGTTTTATATGACTTCAGTTGTAAAGGCTATTCCTCTATTTCCTTTTATTCCATAATGGTCATGAGAATTGTAGTGCATTGTAGTGGATAGAATGAGTTTTAGTTTTGTGTCAAGAATATAATTTATGAAGGAATTGGAAAATTTTTAAAAATGCATAGTTTTTTATTTTCATGGGATTGTACATAAACACAAAATTTACTTAGTGTGCTTCTCTTAGACTTTAAGTTGCAAAGATGTGTCCACCTACATTAGTAACAATAATGAAAATAATAGCTAGCATTCATATAATGAATTATTCCTGTGGTAAATTCATGTACTTTATTTACATTCATAATAATTATTCATAAAATTATTCCTATAATAAATATAACAAATTTAACATTTGCAAAGCATTTTACAGATATTAATTCATTTTATCCTCACAGCAGCCCTGGGATAGAGTTGCCATTATTCCCATTTTACAGGTGAGGGAATTAAGGAAGACAGAGGTCAAGTGGCTCATTTCCTCATCTGAAGTTCTCTATACCAATGAAATTACAGGTCCAGTCCTAGGTCTATCTTGTCTAATCAATTTGATTTGTAATGGTTACATTGTGGTAGAGGCCCAGGACAAGTCCCAAACTTGTAGCTACATCATCAGTACTTGTTCCACTGGTACCAGAAATAAGGATGTTCATAGCCAGGATTTACTGAAGAAACATATTTTTGAGGAGGTAGGAAGGAAACTGAGCAGATTTATTCAGGTTTCCTTGGTGTGTAAGCTGGATTTTTGACATTTTAATCAGTGAAGTTATTTGGAGCTCTGCTAAAACTAAGTGCTTGATTTAAAGGGGGGCGTGGAAGAATCAACCACCATATAGCACTCTACCAATGCTGCCTATTTAATGACAAAACAAAGAAATGAATGATAAAAAAGTGATATTATTAAGGGTTAGGAAATGAACATACTTCATGAGCTACTTAGGACTTCAAGAGATTTAAAGAATTCCTGAATTAGGTAAAGAAAGAAAAAAAATTCTGGTTTTGGAAAAGCAGAGTGATGAAAAAAATTAAAGATTTGTGTGTGCATTTATGTGTATATCCATGTGTGCATGCTGAACAGGCTATTTGTAAAAGTGTGAAATGATTTAAAAATTACATTTCCTAAAGACTTGTATGGGCATAAGTGGTTGACTATTTCCAATATTAGCTCTTAAAAGTAGTAATGCTCCCTTATTTTACAGAGAGTACGGTACTACTTTTTTTGGGGGGGGGCGGTGTTACTAAATTAAAGTCTATAGAAAATTGTTCTAATTTCAAAATGATTTTTCCTGTAAGGATAGCCATCGTTGTCAGAATAGACCAGTGGATTCACTGTAGTGATGAGCTAGGGGCCCAGTGGAGAAAGCACTGAACCCAAGTTCAAATATGAGGGTAGGCATTTCCTACGTACATACTACTGGACCGATCATTTAGTCTCTGCATCCATTTTCTCATCTGTAAAATGGGGGTTAATAATATCACCTACCTCCCACGGTTGTTGTGAAGATATAATGAGATATAAATACTAGTTATTTAGGTGTTTTCTACATAAATTTAATAGAATTGAATTTTCAGCTTAACACAACCATTATTCATACTAAGGCTTTTGAGTCTGTTTGTTACATAATAATATGTTTTTGCTTTTTTTTTTTTCCAGATCATGTATTTTAGTTCACTTTTTCCATATGTGGTACTCATATGCTTTCTAATCAGAGCCCTGCTTTTAAATGGTTCAATTGATGGCATCCGTCATATGTTTACCCCTAAGGTATGTGCTTAGCTTCAGAGTAAGACATAATTTATGAGTGTATTATATTAATTGTTAGAAATGCTTTGAATGTTAAAGGCCACCAGAGCCTGCCTTAGGAGGTTAATTTTCTTATACTTGGTGTTTTTTTTTAAATTTTAGATTGAGGGTTTTCTAAATCATTGGCACTATAACATGTGATATTGATCAAACTGAAATATTTCTTGTTTGTGTTCAAGAGTCCGTATTAGGATTTAAGACTTAAATATCAATCTAGTTGTGTTCTTTAAAATCATGGAATCTAAGACTACTCTAGTCATTATTTAAGATTTCAAATGATTTAAAAACATTTCAGATTGTTTTTACATATAACTGGTGAAAAATAAAATACTAAATAAAATTTTTTTTTTTCAGAAGTAAAGGCTTAAAGTCAAAGCCTTGATTCCAACCCCTTTCCCATTCCAGAAACATAGATAGAAAGAAAAATGTGTTGTGTTTTTGAAAAGATAATGATAAAAATGAAGCAATTGATTTTTAAAATGTGGAGGGAAAGGTTCTCTATTTCTAAAGGTAACAATATTAAAAAATAATTTTATGCTGATAAAAGTATAGAATTTAATTCTTCACTGATCATCTATAAATAAAAAAGGGTTGTTATGTATATGATTGTTGTTGTTGTCATTGTTCAGTTATTTCAGTTGTGACCAACACTTTGTGACCCCATTTGAGGTTTTCTTAGCAGAGATACTGGCATGGTTTGCCTTTTTCTGCTCCAGCTCACTTTACTGTTGAGGAAACTGGAGCAAACTGGGTTAAGTGACTTGCCCAGGGTCACATAGCTAGTAGGTGTCCGATGCCAGACTTGAATTCAGAAAAATGAGTCTTCTTGACTTTAGTCCCAGGATTTTGTGCTACCAAACACTAGTAAGTTAATAGTCAACTTAATAAGTGCTTCTGGGAATAACAACAACAACAATAATTAATAGCTGTCTAGTGCATTCAGGTTTGCAAATTACCTCTTTCGATCCTTGCAATGAACTCTGTGAATTAGGAGCCTGTTGTTATCCCCATTTTACAGTTGAGGAAACTGAAGCCTAGAGATGCTAAGTGACAGTTACATAGCAAGTAAGCGTTTAAGATGAATTGAAACTCGTCTTTCATTTTTTTTTTTCCACTGCTTTATGCTGTCTCCACACAGGATATAGAATTGTTGCAGTTCTAAATTATTTGTGTTCTTGTTGAACTGGGAAATCTGGCTACTGAATTACTTCTCAGTTGTGTATAACTTTTGAAGAGAATTCAACTTAGGAAATATAGGAGGCAAAATTTGTATTTTCCATCTTTAAGGGGGTACTATTCACTGCAGTTAGCTGGATTCTAGACACATCAGCTACTTGAAATACCCGGCTTGCAGTTTGACATGAAATAACAATAAAGGATTTGGGTATCTATTTTAGTTAGTTTTTGAAGTCACGACTAAGATATAGTATGGTAGAAGAAATCCTTGCCTTACTTTGTTTGCTTGTGTATATGAATGTATGTATGTGTATGAGTGTATATATGTATGAGTGTGTGTATGTACATGTGAGTGTATGTATGTGTGAGAGTGTATATATTTATGTATGTGTGTGCATATGTGTGAATGAGTATAAATAGGTATGTGAGTGTGTATGTGAGTATATGTGAGTGTGAGCATGTGTTTGTGTGTGTATATGTGTGTAAGTATATATATATATATTTGTATATGATCATATGTATGTATGCCGGAGAATGTGAGCATATGTATGTACGTGAATGTACATGTATGTGTACATGTGTATGTGAGTATATATGGGTGTGTGAATATATGTGTGAGAGACAGTATATGTGAGTGTATATATGAGTACATATTGGTGTGTGTGTATGAGTGTATGTGTATGTGTGCACATGCACTCTAGGCAGGTGGAGGTGTCAGGGAGGGGAGGGCCATCTTTCTCCTTGGAGCCTCTCTAGAGCACTATGGTTTGGCAGTATGGATTGGGAAGGCCCTTTGATGCTTCCTTTCCCTCCTTCTCAAAAGAGTCTATTAAGCATGGATAGACTGGCCAGCCTTTCCCGGCTCCGCTTGGGCAGAGGTACTCCTAGCTACATCCATGGACATCCCCCTCTCTATGGAGGCATACTGAACTTTGCCACTTTGCAGTGGGGTCACGTCAGTAGCCACAGGATCCGAGATTCGGAGCCAGGTGCAGTGTAGCATAGATTCAGAGAAGGACCCGGATTAGAATTCTGGTTCTTCTTAGACAAGGGCAAGTCACTTAACCCTCCTAGACTTCAGTTTCCTCCTATGTAAAACCAGAGGATTGGCTTTGCTGGCAGCTGAATTGCCTTCCATCTCTAATTCTGTCTTCCTGTGACTGGAGGTAGTAATGATAAGCATTGCTCCATACCATCTGAATTTATCTAGTAACAGGATCACAGAACTTTGAAAGGTAGATGGAATCTTAATAGCCATCTAATCTAATCCATCCTTGAAAGAAATCCCCTGTAACATATTTGATAAGCGGTCACACTGTCTCTGCTCGATCCCATGTGGACAAAAACAAACAAACAAACAAATTCTTGAATTACTAGGGAAGAATCAAATAAACAGCTGTTTCAGAAATCCTAAAATAAATTTGACATCAATGTATGGAATTGTTACTAAAAAGAGTATTTAGCTCCATCTAGTGACCAAAGACTGAATGTGTCAATGTCATTGGGTCACTACAGGAATTTAACGTGTCTGATTGGGAAGAGTCAGGATATGTGTATTATACAGAAAATTTTTATATTCTGTATTTAATTAGATAGATATTTTTCAGAAATTTAAAAGAGCAATTAATTGTTTCATTGAGCAAACGAAGGAGATTTTGACTTATCTAAATGCATTTGTAGTGGTTATTAGTGATAAAATACTGACCCCAATTCTAGTGTAACCACAATAAAACAACTCTAATGAACTCTGGTAAATAGATTCTCAGCCATCTTAGTTGTATATAACCTGGCTAGTACCTGTCATTAAATAGACAGTATATAAATATTTCTTGAGTGAAGAAAAGGCTGTGTGAGGTGGGGGGTGTATCACTGGACTTGAAGTTAGGAAGACCCAGGCACAAATCCCGTCATAGACACCAGGTGTTTGCCACTGGGCAAATCACTTAACCTCTGTGTGCTTCAGTTTCCTCATCTGAAAAATGAGGAAGTTGACCTCTAAGTCTCCTTTCAGTTTAAATATGTAATCTTAATGAGTGAATGAATGACTTTGAGATTTGTAGAAAGTCCAACTCGTCCATGTTTTCCATTGTCTTCGAATCAATTCATTTGAAAGATAGATGGAGCCCTTTCTTTGACATCCCTATCCCTTCCCACTGATTTACTACCCCAACTCCAGTAGAGACCTCCCTTTAAAAAATAAAAAAAATTTGATCAATCAAAAACAATGGTCTTTAAACGTATGCCTTATACATCATTTCTAGTCCACCACCTCCCTGCTGGACAGCAAGAGGTGTGCCTTGACATAAGTCTTCTGAATCAAGTTACTCACATACATATCAGTTAAAGAACCATTTCACTTTATGAACCATAGAACTTTGGGAGGGTTTGGTTTCTTTTTACTTAGGAACCAAATCATCTTCTAACAAAGAAAAGATATTTCAAGGTACTTTACGTTTGTGTTTCTTTAAAAGCTTTTAATATTGGGGACTGGAAATGACTCTTTACATCAGGAAGTGAGCGGAAATAAGAATTGGAATCGGTTGGCGGTATTCACATATAACAGTGGAAGATGTGCTTATAGACACGTGTCAATATTCTCTTTGATTCACATATCTCATTGTAATGTATTTTAATAGTTGTCAGACTGTCTTTCTTTATCATAGATCTATCGCCAAATTGTATTTTGCAGCTGACTTTTATTATGTCTTGTTTTAAACAGCTTGAAATAATGTTGGAGCCCAAGGTCTGGAGAGAAGCTGCTACTCAGGTGTTTTTTGCCTTAGGACTGGGGTTTGGTGGAGTCATCGCCTTTTCAAGTTACAACAAGAGAGACAACAACTGTCATTTTGATGCTGTCCTGGTGTCCTTCATCAATTTTTTCACTTCGGTCCTGGCCACATTGGTAGTGTTTGCTGTTCTGGGCTTCAAAGCAAACATCGTAAATGAGAAATGCGTTAGCCAGTATGAAAATTCATCCTCTTTCATATTTTGACAATATCATTTGGTGAAGGATAGGTTCCCAGGGTAATCATAACATTTTACTCTTTTCCAGAAATTCTGAGATGATTGTTAAGCTTCTGAAAATGGGCAATATTAGCCAAGATATCATTCCTCATCACATCAACTTATCAGCTATAACCGCTCAAGATTATCATTTAGTTTATGACATCATTGAGAAGGTGAAGGAAGAGGAATTTCCTGCCCTTCATCTCAACCCATGTCAAATTGAAGATGAGCTTGATAAAGTGAGTGGCCTTTAAAAAAAATGGCTAACACTTGAGTGCAAATAAGTGAATAAATATAATAGCCATCCTGTAGTTATAATATCATGTTTTTATAAGTGAATAGAAATCATAATAGATTTAAAAATTATATATTGTTTATTGCATAGACATTTATAGTTCAGATGTTACAGAAGTAATTTTTTTAATCATAAAGTTTTGACATTTAATATTGAAGTGGTTTTACTTGTTTCAGCCATATGTGAAGGATTTATAATTTCGTCAGCAATAGAGCATTCCCAGTATGGGTGCTCTCTTTTCTATTGCAGGTAGCAGCATCTCTATATCAGTCAATAATTCTCAAGGGCTTGCTTGATGCTCCTAGGGGTTAAGTGGCTTCCTCAGTGTGATACTGAATTTAGGTCCACGTCCTCGTGACTTCAAGCCCATTGTTCTGTTTACTCTAGTGAATCTGTGTGTGATCTCACTCATGTGGAAATTCCCTCCAAAAATGGAGATCTCATCCCTTTGTGACCATTTCTTCCTTCAATTTTGCCACAGGGGATCCTTTAACAGTACAGTGTTCTTGTGTTCTCTTGACATCTTGGAATTACAGTGGAGAATGTGGGATCTAATCTCACCATACTGCTTCTGTTTCCCTATGGCTAAACTAGAATAGATACGAAAATATTACCTTGAAACCTGGCTGCAGTTTTTCTATCTGTTCTAATTAATCTGGTTACACAGTATGGCAGAGGTAGCTTGGCATCGTGGTTACAGAGTCAGCCCAGAATTAGCAAGACAAGAGTGCAAGTCTTGTTTCTGATTCATACTGGCTAGGGGACCCTGGGTAAATCAGGCAATTCTTTAAGACTATAAGTTGCAGAAATTACTAGTCTGAATTGATGAAATCACAGGTCAAAACAAAAAAAGACAAAAACAGCACATAGTAAAATTTCTTTTTATTTGAGTAAAAAGCAAACTTTTCAGGTGTACCAAGTTTAAAGGTAAATTATCATATGGTATTTTTTCTTTTATTCTTGTTGGTATAAATGGATTATAGTATAGGTATTAGTTTTTATTCTAGGGTAGAAGAAGCAACATGAAAAACTAATAAGCTTTTCAAATCAATCTTTATGTATATGTCTCGTGAGATACAAAATGAAGGAGATATAATTAAGTCTGAGGAGCCAGAAGAGAATAACCCACCAGGACCTTATTTTATTTTAGTTCAGAAAGGGGTTAAGTGGAATTGATATGTTACAGTTGTCAAGTCATTTATTGCTTGTGATGGAAAAGGGAAATGTAATTCATTTTAAGACAAGAACTTTGGGGACTTTTATGCGTGAGAATTTGAGACATTCATTCTTAGATAAGATCATTGGTGAGGTTATCCAATCTGTTTTTGTTTTGATTGTCTTTAAAGAAAAGCTACATGTGTATAAAAGAAAAGCTGTGTATTTAAAGAAAAGCTGTATGTGTATATGTGTGTATGTATACTTATATATTCATCATCCAAAGTAAGGTGCTATTGGTTAAGTGTTTACTACTTGCAAATGCCATATGAAAATATGATAAATACAGCAATGAAAGTTAATATATCAAACTGTAAATAATTTGAAAAATACCTTTCTCATCAAGGAAAAGAGTATAGATACATATTAAACTAATGAGATGATGGATCTTATGCTTTTTACATGAAAGCTGTCTTAATCTGAATACTTTGTTACACATTTTTGTACAAAATAGTAGTTTTTGCCATTGTTTCCATGTCTCTTATTTTAAATTTATTTTTCTACTTTGACCGCATTTTTAATGTTAGCCATTCCATACATGATACTTAGATGGAAACAAAAGATGAATACTTAGAATTATCAAATAATTTCTCTAGGTCGTATGAATTACATGAAAAAGTTCATGGATATTTTCTTATATTAGGTTCTTTTTCTGCATATTTAGATAACAAGAAAGCATATTTATGGAAATATAAGTTGATTTTTTTCCTAGGAAATGTCAAGCCTGGTTAATTGTGTGTATGTCTGTGTATATACACACTTGTATGCATAGTGTGTATATATACACACATAGCGTATATAATTTATATATGCAAATTATATGTGTATATACGCATAAAAAGTATGTGTTTATATGTATTTAAGGGTATGCGTAATGTATATATACACACATATACATAATCGACATTGTATATCATTGATTTGATAAAACTGATATATACTGATAGAATTGATACTATATATGCAATACACATATATAATATATAAGATTATATATACACACACGCATACTTTGTATACATATACACTATGTTCTATGGTAATGTCTAGGTGTACTACCCTTCCTCCCCTCAAAAAAATGTTCTCTCTCCTGTATAACAAAGAAATGACAGTTAAGAAAAACCAAGTGAAGCAGGAACTACATCTGTCATTGTATGTAACAGTCCACACCTGTAGTCTCCTACCTCTCTACTGAAACAAGGAACGTATTTCACCTCTTTTCTGGGGCCAAGATTGGTCATTATAATTATTTAGCACTTAGTGTCATTGTAGTTTTCTTTTTATACTTTACAACTGCTGTGACTTATGTATTTTAAGAGGAGAAAAATATTGTGGAAATCCCCAATGGGAGTACCGACAATTTCTTTTTCTTATATTACTGTCATTAAAATATTTTTAGGCACAAGAAAGAGATGAATGTCAAGGATTAGCTTTCCATTTCTTCTTCTTGCATCATGTGTCATGTTACCAAGTAGAAAACTACAGTGATATGATAAACTCTTTGGCATTCTATACATAGAGTAGTTAAATTTGTGGATTCTGAAATAACTGGAAAGTAACCATCAAAAAATTATGACAAATATGAAAGCAAAGAATTCGAATGGGATGGAATTTGGCAGTTGAGATTTTTCCCTTCCAAGGCTCTTCTATCCTGTCCCACATTTTTATGGCTAGATTTTTCTATTAAGTATGATTAGAGTTTTAAATCCTTAGGAGTCTCAGAGCAATCAGCTAAAGTGTTCTTGGGGGAAAGGGGTGCTCAAAAGAGGTCACTTTTATTATTATATAAATTGGTGGTTAGTCATGAAGGACAGAAAGTTTTGCTCGGCAGGTCTTTTAAATTATAATTAATTATTATCATAAAACCAGTGATGCTCACACTATCATAGCCAAAGTATTAAGAAAATAATCCTATAATCTCCATTCATAGCAGATGTGGAAGAGTTATCGGGGTGGGGGGGGCAATTGACTTAAGATATAAAAGGTCAGATTGTCACTCTTCTGGAAAATTTCTGTTCACTTGGTTTTCATCTAGTTTGCATTCACACATTTTTAATTTTAAAAAATAAGTTGTTATGCATATTTGCTGATTAATTAGGTCATGTGGAGATTAAAGAGAAAAATACTTTGTAATTTTTGTTTGGCATAGAAATAGACATATGCTTATATTCCCCTCTGTAGAGCAATCAAACAACATGTTGAAGTGTATATACATATATGCAATTGTGAATTATGATTCTTAATTCTTTAATATCATAGGCACACAAAATAGGAGGGCCTCTTTCACTGTACTTTTTACAGGACAGATGCATTCATCAAAATGTTATAATCCTTAGGATACAAATGATTCTGACTCAGTGTAACAAAGTAACCTAGTGGCAGGATCTGGATCTAAGAAAATGATATGGCAAATTAATTAAATTGCTATCAACTATGTGTTGTCATCAACACGTTGATTTCATTTCTGATCCTCTGCCCTATTATTCAGAAATCCCTTTATGCTACTATGACTTCCATATAAAGTTGGATGCCCTATTACTTTTCATTCTCCATTAATTTGATTGTTTCCTGGTTGTCTCTTTTACAGGCCGTACAGGGGACGGGGTTAGCTTTTATTGCTTTCACTGAAGCAATGACCCATTTCCCTGCCTCTCCCTTCTGGTCGGTGATGTTCTTCCTCATGCTCATAAACTTAGGACTTGGCAGTATGTTTGGGACCATCGAAGGAATCATAACACCGATTGTCGATACCTTTAAAGTCAGGAAGGAGATACTTACTGGTTAGTCTTATGTATTTTATGACTCATTGAGCTACTAAGATGGTTTTTACTCAAGTGAAGGATCAAGGAAGAAAAGAAGTTTTTATTTTCTATTTTGCTTTTACCTGCGTGAAGTCTCTGTCATGAAATCACAAAGGTTAATAAATGGTGGAGCTGGAATTCATACCCAGATCATCCAACCCTAAATCTTGTGCTCCTTCCTTCTGCTCTCAACTGCCTCAACTTTTTATTGTCAATTCCTTTGAAAAAAAAGTTTTATTACTCATATATTTGAGCACCAACACCCTACTTAGGCCCCCTGTCTGGACATGGAAGTGATCCTTGTTTCTTGAAGGCTGCACTAGTGAATCCTGAGTTCTGGCAAGCCTTGCCAATCTCTCAAAGGCTTTGAGTACAGGTCTGGCGATGGATGAATGTCTCTGGTGGCCAAGCACTAGTCTGCGTCAGTTCAGAAAAGCTGTAAGATGATGGTGTATTTCTGGCCATAATAGCTCAGAAAGGAGGGGAGGAGCCAAGATGGCAGAGAGAAGCCAGGAAGTTGTCTGAGCTTTCCCCAGTGTCCCTGAGAAACAACAATAAATCAAACTCTAAACATTCTTGAGCGATAGAACCTACAAAAAGACAAACTGAAAACTTAAGTTTTCAGCTTAAGATAACTTAGGACTTCAGGAAAGCTCACTTAGGTAAAAGGGGAGCACAGCTCAACGTGGACAACGTCCAGGCAAGACAGCCAGAGGATCTTAGCCATAGCACAGATCAGCAGTCGAGGCCCCTCGGTCCTGGATCAGCAGGCCGGTGGCACAGGAGGCCAGCTATGAGACCTCCAGCCCTAGTGCAGAAGGCAAATTGCCAGCCCGGAAACCAAGTAACAAGAAGTGTGACCAGGCTAGGCCATCTCAATGCAGTGACTAGGCCCCTGGCCCTCGGCACAAGGAACTTGGGACAGTGCCCCCTGTGCTTCAGGAGTAAAACTCAACTTTAAAAGCCACAAAATAGGCAAAAAAAAAGTGAGCAAGAAGCAAAATAGCTCAGGAAGGCAGTCTGCTGAGGTATAAAGGAATTATCACCCACTTCCGTAGGGCTGATCCTCACAGAGAAAACCACTATTATAAGATGTACAATTCTGCAAAAATAACAAGAATAAAACCAATGTAATGGCATTAAAATGTTTTTAAGTATCTGTGAGGTACAGGGTAGTCAACATAAAGCAATGTATGAACTCTCAGGACATACAGTACATTTTCACTTTAGATTTAAACCAAACAGATAAGATCAAAATGGAAATTTGACCTTTTTCAGTCATCAGTTTAGGCATACACAGAGCATTGGCGCCCAGCAGTCCCTCACTGTGGCTGGTTGGAAGACATCACATGAAAAGAAATAAATTCTATCACAGCAGACAGGAGGTGATTGGTTACAGATTTCAGAGGCAACTATGAGTATACAATCAACCCATCGGCTTATTTAGAACAAAGGTCAAAGTAATCACCAGTTTAAAAGAAAGATGAAATTACCAGATTATTTTCTTTTAAAATTATCCTAAGAATGAATGAATGAAAAGGCATTTAGTAAGTACATTGTATGTGATAAGCACTGGGGATACAAATACAGAACCTGTCTTTAAGGTGTTCAGATTCTAATATGATGAGATGGCATATTAAGAGAAGTGTTATTTCCAGGGAAGAGAGTTTGGTTTTAGAAAACCAGAGGTATAGAGAGTACAGTTATAGGGGAGTAGATCTGACTTTTCATGAGCAATGAGTATACCAGCACTAGATGGTGGCTGCATTGGTGTACAGTTGTAGGCCAGAATTTTGCCAGGGTGAAAAGTGAAGCATGACTGGAGGCTGGCTAGATATATTGGGCCTTGGGAGGCACTCACTAATCAAAACATCGTGGGCCATTAGCACTAAGTATTGAATTTTTATTGATAGTTTTTAATCACTAAACTTGAGGATTAACATTTTTCTTGTTTGCTCTTTTTCTCCAGTTGTCTGTTGTCTTCTGGCATTTTCTATTGGCCTGATATTTGTGCAACGTTCTGGAAATTATTTTGTCACAATGTTCGATGACTATTCTGCTACTTTGCCTCTGTTAATTGTGGTCATTTTGGAGAATATTGCGGTGTCGACTATTTATGGCATAGACAAGTAAGTTTCAAAATAATCTCCTTGGTTAATTTTATCTTTAGTCTTGGAAGACTCATGCACTATATTTCTATCATCAGAAATAAAGTGGGATATTATGGAAATGACAGAAATCTTTAAAATAAAATGATAGTTCTCCCATTATTAGAGGCTTCCTCTGATGCCTGTGTTTTCTTTTTTTTTTTTTAATAAATTTATTTATTTATTTATTTTTAGTTTTCAACATTCACTTTCTTAAGATTTTGAGTTCCAAATTTTCTCCCAATCTCTCCCCTCCCCCTACCCCAAGAAGGCATGTAAATTGATATAGGTTCAACATATACATTCATTAAACCTATTTTCACATTAGTCATGTTGTAAACAAGAATTAGAACCAATGGGGATGCCTGTGTTTGGTTACGCCAGTAGAACATGCCAGCTTTTATCTAACCCCAGCAAGCTAGAAAGGTTTTTATTATGAGCTCCTCGTCTCTGTCTCTCCTTTCTCCCTCTCTCTCTTTCTTTCTCTTTCTGCCTCTCCATCTGTCACTCTCTTCCTCCCTTTCTCTCTCACTGTCCCTTTTTTGTGCTCTCTCTTCTCTCTCTCTTTTTCTTACTCTCCCTCTTTCCAGTTCCCACTCTCTCTATACATATCTCTCAGGCTATCTTGCATTTCTAATCAGATTTCAGTTGGGCAACTTATTTAATTTGGATTTTCTTTATAGGTCTTAAGTTACAAGGTAATTCACAAGTGCTGTGACCATGTGTTGCAGTATAAGTACCTCACTGGTACCTTTATACTATTATAGAATGAATTGTTCCTTTCACACAGGCAAACCATTCAGACCTTAAGTCCCTCTTAGTTGAGCTTCTGGATGGACATTTTTCTAAAATATAGAAAACTTCCTTAAATAAAATCCCTAAATAAACTAGATCCTTTTCTTAATGACTCAAGATAACTGGGGTGAGTGTCAATGGCTGTGCTCAGCTCTGATACAGTGCTGTCTGGGGAATGAGCAAGGTGTTTAGGGCTATCCTCAGTGGAACTCCAACTGCTTCTATTTTCTTATTCTGAGTCTGCCTTTAAATTTTCTTTAATACTTTATTGTTGTAGAAGTAAGTTTATATTTACTGCAGATGGCTATTATACCTATCCCTTTTTCACCACTTGAATTATTGCCCCAAAGAAACTATTACAGAATAGGTACATTTATCTCATTTGTCATTTGTTGTTGCACTTAGCACAGCATCTGGCCCAGAGCAAGTGCTTAACAAATGCTTGAGTGACTGTTGACTACTGAATCTTTTGGAACAAACCCGGAATTTCATTGGTAAGGAGAATGCCTAGTTTAGAAACTCCCTCCACCAATGCACCATTACTTGCTTTCCGACTTTAGAATCTTAAGAGATGCCTGAGACAATGAGAAGTTGTGACTTGCCTAGGGTCACAAAGTCCTTATGTAGCAGGGGATAGATTTTAACCTAGATTTTTTTGACTTTTGAGACCAGCCTTCTATCCATTTTGCAAAGCTCCATTATAGCTTACTAAATGAGGAAACTGACCTCCTTCTTAGTGATGGAAAAGGCTATAGTGTAATTTCAAAGGCTTTCAAATAAGGTCAACACAATTAATATAGAGAATGTCGAAGCTCTTCTCTAGGAAAAGTGATCTTGGATTTACTTTTTTTTTTTTTTTGCTTTTTTGGTGAGGCAATTGGGGTTAAGTGACTTGCCCAGGGCCACACAGCTAGTGTCATGTGTCTGAGACTGGATTTGTCCTCCTGACTCCAAGGCCAGAGCTCTATCCACTGTGCCACCTAGCTGCCCCTTGGATTTACTTTTAAGAGTATCCCAGCCTATTCATTAGCTGGAATTGTTTACCAAAAGAAGCAAAGTGATCAGAAAGGATCTTTAATTATTTGTTGTTTTTAGGTTCATGGAAGATCTGAAGGATATGCTGGGCTTTGCTCCTAACAGATATTACTACTACATGTGGAAATATGTGTCTCCCCTAGTGCTCTTGTCGTTACTGATTGCCAGCACGGTTCAAATTGGATTAAGTCGACCTGGCTATAATGCGTGGATAGAAGATAAGGTAAAACAATGAATTTCATTTTAAATAAAATCTATATGTAAACTCCAATGAATGAAAATTGTCAGTTCTAATACTCTTAAGTATTGTTTTCTGCATACCCTGTACAAAATGAAGTCATCTCTTGTGTAAGGCTCTTGAAAATTATTTTCTTATTACCCAAATCCATAAAATCCAATTTGGTTATCGCTATTTTTTTTCTTTCAAATCCTTATTAATGTTGATTGACAGCTATTTTCCATTATTATTAAAAAAAGAATGTGAAGATCATTTTGTTTTTCTAGAAAATTTTTTTACTAGAAAACCTACTTAGCAAAATTTCAGGAATATTTTAGCTTAAATATATTTAATGAGCTATTACCAGAATATATATCCCCCACCAGAAGGATACAGTAGCTACATATGAGTAACTTTTATATAAAATCACTATAATTAGTCTCTTGCTACTACTGTCATGAAATCTATATTTATTACAAATTTTCCAGAAAGTACAAGATGAAGTATTTAAGTTTTTCCAACTATCTAAGGAATTCTAGCAATTTAGACCAGTGAAAACAATCTGGATAATTCAGAGCTTTCCTTCTCCATCAGCCTTCTCCTCAACTGTCTTAATAATTTAGGCAATGTCTTTTCCATGGACAGTTTGAGGAATAGGATTTTATAGCTAGCTACCACATTTTCTCAAGTGATAAGGAAAAATATACTCAAAAAAAGCAAAATCTAAAAGTTTTCTATATGTATCTGTTTTTTGTAAGTCACTAGGCTAATATGCATGTGTTTATATCATTGGGATAAAATTATATCTATCATCTATCTCTATGCTTTAGTGGGAATAAAGGAAGAAAATTTATGATAATGTTTATATTTTGTTGTTTTCATCAGGCTGCTGAAGAATTTTTGAGCTTTCCAACTTGGGGCCTGGCGCTCTGTATAAGTCTGATGGTCTTAGCGATACTTCCTGTCCCAGTTGTCTTCATCATCCGCTGCTGCAACCTTATTGATGACAGTTCTGGCAATTTAGCATCTGTGACCTATAAGAGAGGACGGATCATTAAAGAACCTTCTAATTTAGAAGGAGATGATGCCAGCCTCATTCATGGAAAGATAGCAAGTGAGGTGCCTTCTCCAAATTTTGGTAAAAATATTTATCGAAAGCAGAGTGGTTCTCCAACTCTTGATACAGCTCCCAATGGACGGTATGGAATAGGGTACTTAATGGCAGATATGCCCGACATGCCAGAATCCGACTTATAGCTTCAAAACAAAACAAAACAAACAAACAACCCAACTCACCTTGTATTTAATTTTTATCACTGAACATTGGCTCTACTAAGAGAAGCAGCAGAAGCTTCACTTACCAGAGTGCGATCTCAGGTGTTCCATGTCTCCGATCTTTAATCCCAACAGTACATGGTACAGTCAACTGGAGCATCCCCTTTGGGTTCTTTGGTTTATGTTTGCACTGAAGGGATTATCAACAAATCTTTCCAGTGACCTAGTTCCTTCATGCTATCCAGGATTTTGTTGTTGTTGTTGTTTTTTTAATTCTCTCAATTGTATTTTAAGATATTTCTATCTTTAAAGAACAGGTGTTACCTCAGTTTGTAATAATAACTGGATTTAATAATATCAACAGTTCACAAATAATGTACCTTAAAAAAAAATCATCCTTTTGCCTTCAGGGTAAATCCCCAGTATTCAAACAAGCTCCTAAGCTATTCAGTAAGTTTGTGCATCTCTGCACAGCTGTATAGGTATATCATGTAGATAAGGGTGTACTTATTTTGTTAGATAATGAGGATGTAGGCAATTTGCTTGAAGAAACCTGCAAAATATTTTCTTATGTGATAGATAGCTGTATAGAGCAGTAGCATCAGAAAAACAAGGCAGCACTAATACAAGCTAGATTCCTGGGTCACTGGGGACTATATGAGTTGTAGCTGTATATTTTGTGTAAAAATTTGCTTTTTTCAGTGTGAAAATGACGTAAGAGTGAGTCACTCAAGACTCTTAAGGATTGTGCAGATTTTGCATTTTTTTCTATGCCGTGTGCCTAAAAACTTACTTGATATTTATTGTGGTTCGAAGATTATCCATAGTATATTTATATCAATATACTTCTAATGTATATATGTATATTATTAGTACTCTGTGTACTGGTTTGATAACTCAAAAGCAAGATGGCCTTTTGTTCAGTAAATTTCTGTTTTGCTCCTGTTTTTGCAAAAAGAAATCCTTGTGTATGCATATTTTTTTGTTTTGTTTTGTTTGTTTTTGAGTCAGTAAATTGTCAGAAATTGTATGGCATTCCATTTGAATCTACGAATAAAGAAGATGACAAAAATGGTTGTTGTGTTGTGTTCTAAGATGCATTATTTTCCTTGGGCCTATGAATTGTTGATAACATGAAGAAAGCGGTGAACCAAAATGAACATCATGGTTTTAAAATTACTTCATGATGGTGAATTTGGGAATTTCAACAAGGCCCAAAGGGGGTAGGTCAATAAAATTATTTGTTTTCTTTAGACAGGGGAGAAATAGAATATCTTGGCTCAGCTCAAATCATGTCTTCTGACATGCTTGCAGTCCTATAAAAGATCTCTCCCTTAAGCCTACTGGCATTTTGTCTCTTTTAGGTTATTGACTTTTTATAAAATTCCCCAAAATAACACTTTAAAAAAATAAAACTAAGACAACACAAACATCCAATGTATTACTGTTTTCTAACAACTTTTTTCTTTTCTCTCTTCTTAAGGAGTCTTCCTTTATAATTCCCAGTGTTGAGCTCTCTGATGTTGTTATTTCAAATATTACTAAAATATTTTCCATTTTACCATTTCTCTCTCAATAGTGTCAGTACTCATTTATGCTGGGAGGGTGAGAGGGGTGAATTCAAATTCAAATGAATAGGTTACTTGTAAAGACAGGAAATATGCTATAGTAGATAGAAAGCTGGCCTCAGAGCCACTAATATCTAGATTTATGTCTAGCCTCTGAAACATGCTAACATACCAGGCAAATCATTTAACCTCTCCAATGCTAAATATATTTCAGGGGAGGTGCTGACCTACATTGATAGTCTGAATCCAGTTTCTCCCCCTATTCATATTTTTTAAAACAGATTTTTTTTGTTTTTATATTAGATTTCTCTCTCTCACTCTGTGTCTCTCTATCTCTCTGTCCTTTTCTCTTTCTCTCTCAATGAAGTTATTGTCTGGCAGACATCTCTTCCTCTCATGCCCTGGACAGCCTCCCTTATAACAAAGAATTTTTTTTAAAGACAGAAAAATTCAGCAAAATCAAAGTACTAATTGTTTTGTGGTGGTTGTTTTTTCCATTAACATTGTTGCAGTCATTGTGTGTATTGTTTTGTCGGCTCTGATTGTTCACTTTGCATTAGTTCATGTAATTCTTTCCATGCTTCTCTGTATTCATCATTGTCTGTTTATTGTTTAGAAAAGAATCATTTAAAAATAAGGACAGAACATAGATTTAAATCTAGAAGTGATCTACAAGGCCATCTAGTTCAACTCTTCCATTTTGATAATGAGAAAGCTGAGGCCCAAAAATGAATTACTTAAGGACACGACAAAAATTAGATTTGAACCCAAGTCCTCTGACTTCAAAGCCAAAACTCTTTCCACTGTACTGTGTTGCCTCGTATGTTGAGCTAGAGAGGGGTAGCTACAAATACATTTGTCACTTTCCCCTTCTCAAATGTTTATTTGCCATTGGGTAAACTCCAAATTAATGAAAGCTATATCTCAGCAATAGTTTAAATTCATGACTTGATAATGGAAATCCGTGGGGTTTTCTTTTCCATTCTGGTAGCATTAAACAATAGCCTTAACCCTTTCGTCCCACGTTTTTATCAGTGCTCACAGGCAGGCTGCCTCTATATCTTACCCATTTTGATTTTGTTAACAGCTCTGAATTATCTTCCTTATTATCAGTATGGCTCAGATTTTCACCAAGTCACCCGGTTATCTGTTTCTCTTTCTTGGGCATAAAAATGCATTAATATTGGAACAATTTCTCATGTTAAGCCTAATGACCAAATCAATATATAGTGGCTAAATCTCCAAAATTTTAATGTATTGCCCAAGACGTATCTATTTATTAAATCTTATTCAGATATTTTGCTTAATCTTCTTAGATTTGATTTCTAAGCTACTATAGCTATAGATTGACTCCTTAATTTGTTTATGCTTAAAAGGGAGATAAGAATTTTTTGTATTTTAGAAGTCTAATTTTTATGATAAAATATTTTCTTTGAATATCATTCACCAATTTCAGTCACTGTTGATATTATTATTAATAGCATGTTTTTGTTGAACATGGTTGAACATAACTATAATGGAATAAACTACTTCCCCCATTTCAGCACACCAAATTCTTCTGAATAGCTTTCCTGGGGCACTTGTCCACTTAGGAAAAGATCCCTGGCTTTCTTTCCACATTCTGAACACTTCCACGGACTTCTGTCCATATGGGAAAGATCCTAGACATTTCTGTAGTGTGGATAATGTGATATCTATGAGTGTAAAACTGTATTTATAAAGCACTTTCTGGTTTCCAACGATTTCTTTTTTTTTACTAACAGCCTTTTGAGGAAAAATACAAAGACCACATCTTCATCTCCATTGACCAGATGAAGAAACTGAGAGAGAATTGAAATGACTTGACCAGGGTTACATAACTAGTAAGCATCAGAACTATGACTTGAATCTAAGTCTGCCTAACTCCAAAAACAGTGCTTTTTAAACAATACTATGCAAATCACGAGGGCAGCTAAGTGGTGCAGTGGATAAGAGTGCTGGGCCTGGAATCGGGAAAACTCATCTTGCTGAGTTCAAATCTGGCATCAGACACTTAATAACTGTGTGACCCTGGACAAGTCACCTAACCCTGTTTACCTCAGTTTCCTCACTTGTCAAATGAACTGAAGGAGGAAATGGCAAACTACTCCAATATCTTTGCCCCAGATGGGGTCACAAAGAGTTGGACAAACGAACAAATGAACAGTGACAACAAACACAAATTATGTGTAAGAGCTAGAAGAAACAGAAAGGTAGTGCAGTGGATAGAGTTGAATGTGGCGACATGAAGTCAAGAATTCAAATGCAGCCTCAGATGCTTTCTAGTTGTGTGACCTTGGGTAAGTCACTTAACCTCTGTCTCCATTTTCTGGTCTGCAAAAGAGAGTTAATATAAGCTCTTAAGTACCTACCTCCCAAAGTTGTAAAGATCAAATGAGATTTTTATAAAGTGTTTTGCCTCCCTTACAGAACTATATAAATGCTAGCTGTTAACATTGTTAAACTTAGTGATCATTTCAAGGGTGGGCATTTATTTTTTGGTACTGTATAACTCTGGCAGTCTGATAAAACTTAAGGACTCTTCAGAATCATGCTTTTAAAAAAATAATAGAAAAATGCTTAATTTCAGTTAGAGGTTAATATTTTCCCCTCAAGTTCCTAAAAGCCCAGATTAATAACTCTTGATATAATCTAAACTTTTCAATTTAATAAAGACCAAGAGACCTTTAGACTTCAGTAATAATAATAATAATAAAATAATAAAATAATAATAATAATAATAATAATAAAGACTTTTGAGGCATCTGGTGATACAAAATGGATAGAACCCTGGGCTTGGAGTCAGAAAAATCCGAGTTCAAATTTGGCTTTGGACATTTACCCGCTGTGTGATTCTGAACAAGTCACTTCATTTCTGCCTCTGTTTCTTCAACTTTCGTCTCACAAATCAGGAAAACATGATCCCAGGGCCAGAGCTGAGGTCTAAGTAGGACTGTATAGCAATACCAGCAGCCACTGAGCCTAGCAGGAAGCTGCCATTGAATGGGAGGGTCAAGTTAGAATGTAGCATATCATTTAGGCAGAGTTGAGATAGACCCAATTTTGCCAGTCATTTTAGAGGCCCTGGTCCTCATCTTTATAAAGTTTGTATGGTAAAATCCCTTTCCCTGTAATCAAGTGTAGCCTTGATTTGATCCTATGTACAGGACACTAGCAGCTAGGATAAGGGGAGGAACACTGCTGGAATAGGAGATAAGATTAGCAATAGTGATAGAGTGTTTACTTTTTTTTTTCTCTCTAAGAAGGCCTGACTCACTGTGGTGAGTGCTTGTTGAATAAAGGGATAAAAAAAAAAGTAATAATGGTTTTACCATCTGCCTGTGAGACCTTAGGCAAGTGATTTGTTGTCTACAGTCTTTGGGGTAAGGATTTGGA